CGGTCGAGTCGGGTTCGGCGTCGTACCGCCAGAGCGCGACCGGCTCCTCGCCCAGGAAGAGCCAACCATTCTGCTCGTCCGTCACGCAGCCTTCGACCTGGCCGCCGTTGCCGGCGATGAAGTCGCGAACCAAGGTCGTCTGCAGCGTGCCGTTCGCTGTCGCCGTGAGCTCGTACTGCAGGTAGCGGGCCGACTTCTCGTTGACGAAGAGGTACTGCTTTCCTGTCTTGGGGGAGAGGTAGGTGCACGAGCCGTAGACCTTGTACTTGGGAGGAAGCGGCTGGCTGCCGCCGGGGATGTCCGTCAGGGTTCCGTTGGGGTGCATCTCGAAAAGACTGTCGAGTAGATGCCGTCGATTAGCACTCATATGCATACAGCAGCGTTGGGAGCTAAAAGAGTGTCCGTGACTTGCCACAGAGTGCTTTCAGTACGACATCCTGCGAATGCCAGATCGACGCGGCGGTTGCCGGCCTGGAAGCCGTAGATCATATCCACGTTATTTGGCTGCGGCGCCGGGAAAACCTGCACCAGTTTTCCCTGCAGGTCGTACACCCCGAGGCCGGCTTCCCGCTCAGACTTGACTGTGGTGATGATGCGAGACAACTCTGGGGCCACCGGAGAGACCCAGATGGCCGGGTCATCACCATCGCCACCGTTGGCATCCGTCTCGTAGGACGGCTCGACCAGCAGGAACGAGCAGTGCAGGCCGCCCCAGCCGGCATCGCAGCTGCACTGGTTCGGCCCGGTGCAGCGGCCCTTGCCGGAGCAGGAATCTGTGCAGGCAAACTGGCTGCAATCGGGGCCGGTGAAGCCGAGGAAGCAGCTGCACTTCTTGTTGATGGAGTAGCCGTTTCCGGAGCATGAGCTGGAGATTGGAGAAGGTCCGCTGCCGCCCGACCGAGCCCTGGGGTTGTACGCTGTGTTCGCTGGGATACCGAGGTCCGCCAACACTGTGGACAGAGAAGAGACACCAAAACCCCTGAAGGACTTAGCCTTCATGCTGTAGGTAAGCACGCCTTGAGGGTACCTCGATGTGGACGCTTGGTATGTGCTCAGCCCCTCGATCTCGATCTTGTCCCGGCCGGTCAGGGTAACCTTGCCGACGATGTCCCAAGGATGGCGGTAAACAGAGATGGAGTTCTCCTGGGCGACGAAAACGTAGTCCTTCTCGGAAGAGCTTGTCTCATATACGGAAACGCCAGTGGCTGCGGTGACATTGTCTACCTTGGTGATTACTGGCGCGGCAGTATTTTCGACCAGCTCCATGGTGTAAACATCTTGGCCCACATCCTCAGTGAGGAACAGCGTGGAGTGCTTGTGTGAAACCGCGCAGCCGACGAACACGGCCGAAACGGGGATAGATCGGACCTGCAGCGCAAATAAAGCTGGTTAGAACACACCGTTCCTCCACATCTCTCTGGGATCCGCAAGTATTTACCTCCAGGATCTCAACAGCGCCGTTGACCTTGCGGACCAGATACTGCAACGCCCTGCCTCCCTTGCCGAAGAGAAAGAAGTAGTGGTTTCCGCTGCTGCTCTGCCATGGGCAGATGGCATTCCAGTCACCCAAAGTCACATGTGGCGATGCGAGCGTGGGAATCTCCTTGAATGAGGCTGTATCAAAAACGCGAATGATAGAATCGGTCTGCGCGATAGTGACGATGACATCGCTGGAGCCGGCCTTGCCCCCCGTCCCGCCGCCCAATCCATACAACGTGGTGACGAGTTTGGTCCTCCCGGTAACGATGCTGGTGACCTCGGAAATTGGGGATGGCGAGTCTAGATTGAAGATGTGGAAGCCACCAGTGGTAGTCATGCCATCGTTTCCAATCAAGTAAGGGGACGCCGGCGACGACGAGCTTGATGCTGCGTCTGGATAGTATACAGAGGTCCAACCGGACTTGATCTCGCGGCTCACGGCGGTGATGTTGAGCTTGACGCTGACGGGCGCCGACCGAGCCGCGACGGCGCCAATAATGGTACACAGAGGCCACACGGCGAGCATCATCTTTGTCGCCATGTCGACACCTGCGCGGACACGGATTGGTCAGTCGAAGGATTTCCAGGGAGCGCGGTAAGATGGGGCCTCTGCGATTGTTTGAGTAAAGTAACTCACACACCTCTTGTTGTAGAGCAGACGAGCTTAGAAAACCCGTGCTCATTTCCCTTTCTTTTTTATGTGATGGATGCGGCTTGGGCTTTGTATTTATGTGGCCAGCGACAGTCCCGCTTGCTTGTGCGACGGCTTCAAACGGCCAAGTAGACTCGATGCGATCCCATGATGCAGTGTCGCAAATAGAGAATACGGCCTACAGGGCATTCGTACAAGAACCCATAGCGCGCCTCGTACATGGATCGCCGCCTGGGTTGGGGGCCGCGGAACCATGTGCCCAAATACCACCTTCCGAAAAAGAATGCTCGGCGGATTCGGCTAATGAGGAAAAGGAAGAAGAACATGGTGAGCAACTGCTGATTTGCTGCTTGGCTTTGATGGCACGGGCGTTTGGCGAATCGCGTCCTGGAGAACAGCTTGTCCGTGCGGTGGGAGGTACTGGCAGAGGCAGGCTGTGTTGTTGCGCTGGCCCGTTGTGACTGGGATTCATGGTGTTTGCGGGCGACTGAGAAATTCTGGCCACACTGTGCTAAATGGAAGCCGCCAGAACTCACTCAGCCAGCGCTCAGCACTGCCATCTTCTCAGTGCCTCTCTCCTCAACCATCTTCCCCTGGTCTGCTCCAACTACAGAGATCGCAGCTTGTCCAAGCGCCATCTCCATTACTGCACCCTCCTGCGCACGAAACATTTCCACGCCCATCAAATCTTTTAAACTTCCCCAAGAGCCAGCCCTGCCCCGATTCGGATGCCACCAGGCTCCATCTTCATCACCGCTATACCCCTGCTCCCGCTTCCCCTGCAGGACGTGGGCTGGAACCCTGCATCCTCTCGCCGCAGCGACCGGCACACAATGCCGCTTCCCGCACACAAACTCTGCCCAAGAGGAGTCCTCCGGACCCAGGCGCCCAACCAAGCAGCAACCAGCACTGGAGCACATCCGATATGGTGTAGTGCCTAACATCCGGCACTCTCAAGGCTCCGGTCCTGAGGCCTGCCGAGCCCGGGGTTCGATTCCTCGTATCGGAGCCAGCCCGGTTAACTCAATCGGTAGAGCGTGAGACTCTTGAGACTTCGGTCATCTCAAGGTTGCCAGTTCGACCCCCGCATTGGGCTCAATTCCCGATGCGCCTGTGGTACGCAGGCATATCAATCTGATTTTTTGTGCCCTTGTTGTTTGGGTACTTTTTTGGGGGGGGGGGGGGGGGGCCTCGGGATAAGTTGTCCGGCAAATGCCAGTCCTGGCTTTCTCGCGCCTCACCCCTGACCACCCACGATGTGATAACCCTAACACGATTGACGGCCAACTTTTCTAGCCACAACTCCCAAATCCCCTGCTTCAGTTCCACCGATGCGGGGTGTGTCTTATTACCCGACGGACAGAGCAGCGCTTCTCCTCTGTTTTGGAACCAATTCTCCGTGACCAGCCCCAAGTGGAGAGCCCAGAGCGACGGAAGACGTCAACTCCGCCTGATGGCACGCAAACATCCGCGATGCTGCTCCTTGTGTGGATGGATTAACTGCCTGCTCTGCGAGGGCCTCCACTTCCCCGCACCCGCTTCTCCAAATACCGACCCCGTTCGCCTCTTTGGGAATGCCTCTCGCCCCTTTTTGCGGCCTGCGACATCCTGGTTTCCGGGAAAAACCAACATAACAGCAGCTATTTTCTCTGCTATCCCTACGACTGCGACCCGATCGAATCTTCCCATTGGCGCGGGTCTAGCCTCAAGCAGGATGCCCGTTGTGGGGAGAAGCCACTGCCCGGCTTGGCCCCCTACTCGTCATATAAGAGGCGTCTCCGGCTACTTCATGGCGCTCCTAGGTCTGCGCTATCTTTTACCCCTGAGCCCCGAGCACCTTCCCGAGCTTCCGACTTGGACTCGATCGTCAAATATCCGCTAACTACCTGATCGCACAACCAGACAGGCCACCCCCATGGATCATCCCAGGGCCGGAAATATGCGCTGGGGCATGAAGACGGCGTGCCGAGGCCTGCTCCTGGCTGTCCTCGCCGGCGCTCCCAGCTTTGTCAGGGCGGACAACCCCATTGTGCAGACGCGCTACACGGCCGATCCGGCCCCAATGGTCTACAAGGACCGCCTCTACCTCGTCACCAGCCATGACAACGACGGCGCGACCTACTTCAACATGACAGACTGGCGCCTGTTCTCGACCGACGACATGGCCAACTGGCAAGACCACGGCAGCCCCGCCGGCCTCGCCACGTTTTCGTGGGCCTCCAAGGACGCCTGGGCTCCTCAAGCTGTCGAGAGGAACGGAAAGTTCTACCTCTACGTTCCCGTTCAGCCCCGCTCCGGCGGCGGCGCGGCAATCGGCGTCGGCGTGGCGGACAAGATCGAGGGGCCCTACAAGGACGCCATTGGCCGCCCCCTGGTCCAGAACGGCGAGATCGACCCAACCGTCTTCATCGACGACGACGGCCAGGCCTACCTCTACTGGGGCAACCCGAACCTGAATTACGTCAAGCTGAACCCGGACATGATCTCCTATCAGGGGCAGCCCGTCCGGGTCCAGCTCACGACCCAGGGCTTCGGCCCGCGCGCGGCAGGGCGCGGGGACGGCAAACGCCCGACGTCGTACGAGGAGGGTCCCTGGCTGTACAAGCGCAACGGCGTCTACTACATGATCTACGCGGCCAACTGCTGCAGCGAGGACATCCGCTATGCCACCGCCCCGACCGCCACGGGGCCCTGGACGTACCGAGGCCTGGTAATGGCGACCGAGGGCTCCAGCTTCACCAACCACCCGGGCGTGGTGCACTACATGAACAACTCCTACTTCTTCTACCACAACGGTGCCCTCCCGGGAGGTGGCGGCTACGCCCGCTCCGTCTCGGTCGAGCGCTTCAATTACGGCGCCGATGGCTCCATCCCGACCATGAAGATGAGCAAGACCGGGGCGCCGCAGCTCAAGGAGTTTGACCCTTATACGCGCCGTGAGGCCGAGACCATGGCCTTCTCGCGCGGCGTCAGCACCGAGCCGTGCTCCGAGGGCGGCATCAACGTCAACAACATCAACAACGGCGACTACATTAAGGTCGCTGGCGTCGCGTTCGGCGCCGCTCCGGGTCCCAAGACGTTCACGGCCCGCGTCGCGGCTGGTGGCAACGCGCAGAACTCCAAGATCGAGCTGCGTCTGGGCGGCGAATCCGGCACCCTCGTCGGCACCTGCAATGTCCCCGGCAGCACCGGCGGGTGGCAGTCCTGGACCACGGTGAACTGCAGCGTCAGCGGGGCGACGGGCACCAAGGATCTGTTCTTCAAGTTTGTCGGCAGCGGGTCGGGATATCTGTTTAACATGAACTGGTGGCAGTTTGCCAAGTAGGGGGTGATCGGGTCTGATGTAGGGAAGCTATGGACTGTCATCTCTAGCCGTGTGTAAAAAGCAGACAGTCGGGAAAATCTATACTTGGTGGCATCCTCTGACACTCAACCGCGTGGTCTCGCGAGGATATGATCTCGACAACACGAAGAGACATGACCCAAATTGCGTCGACCGTACACCCACCGCAAAGCATCAATGCGGCTGCAGCTCCTTCTGCGTCCAGTCCCACAGAGCATCCCTCTGCTTCGTATCCCTACACAGCCAAGACCCTTTCCCGCCCACGCAGACGGAATGATAAAACTCGCTCATCGCAGTAGCAGCCCACAGCGAGTTGTGTACCGCCTTCTTAGTTGGTGTCAAAAAGTTGCGACGCCAGACTGAAGATACCCCTGAGCAGCGGACCAGGCCCTTCCACCATGGGCCCTTCCAGCCACGTCCTGAGGATGTCTGCATGACGCTCACGACGCGCAGGTCCGGGCTCCCCGCCGCAAGCGCAGCCGCGTAGTGCACGTTGGCTAGCTTGGAGATGCCACAGCGCACCCGCGTCAACGTGGCCACCATGGCAGTGTTGAGCTCGTCAAGCTTGCCGTACGTATCCGCGGGGACGCTGGACTCGAGGTCCGGTGACAGTAAAACAACAAGGACGTCACCCCCGCCGTCGCCGTGTGCCGCCGCCGTCCGTTTGAGGGTTGGGGGCAGGAGCTGCGTCAGCCTGGCGACGGACTGCACCTCGTACCCGCCCTCGGTGAGGCCTCCGGGCGTGCACATGATTCCAGCGTTGTTGATGAGGACGTCGAGGCGGTGGCCGTGGTCGTTCGAAGCAGGCGGCAGCAAAAGCGCGCACGGCGGCTTTGATGCTGACCTAGCAGGCGACGTCCAGCTGCAGCGCGGCCACCGCCGGCGCGCGCACGTCCCGGTCCCGAATGGCTTCCTCGGCTTTGCACAGAGACCGGCTGGCGAGGAAGGTGATGTCGGACCGTGCTTGGCGATCTGGCGGACCGTCTCGAGCCGAGCCCGTTGTTGCCCTCTGTTACAAGGATGACTTTTCCTACGAGGTTGGGGATATCGCGATTTAGGTCGAAAGCTTTGCGTTTGGTCATTGTGTGGATTTGGAAGGCCTATGAAGGTGGGGAAAAGGGGTTGAGGGTTAAGACCAGACGATCTTGGCGAGCAATGTTCTTGGAGACCAAGGGAAGAAGAAGACAAAGAATGCTTAGGATGCAGATCCAGCCGTGTCTGTATACGTACGAATGCGACAGGCATGGCATTAATAACCAAGGGAATCACGTCGATGACGTGTTTGGTGCTGTGGGACGCCAGCATTTTCCAGACCGTTTCCTTATCTAGTACATCCGGACGCGGAGTCAATCATCGCACCAGACGCGCCGGGGACAATCCTAGACAAAAAATATCGCATTAGCTAGCATGGCAGGCGCAAACACCACAACATGGCGGGCACTCACGGCCAGAGACGGAGCCGGGGTACCAGACGAGTTGACGAATCGAGCGTTGCCCGAGGAGTCCCCGGCACCAACTTGGCCTCTCTCAAGCTCCCTGGATGGAGGACTTATTTCAAGCCATCCAACATTCTAAACATCATATCGCTAACCTATTTACATATATCAAGTCCCGAAATCCAATCCTTTAAATCTACCCCACACAAATACCCTTTAACCACACTGCTTGCGAGTCTATCTGGATGATTCAGACTCGGACACGGCGCCCTCGACGTGCTCCGCCTTCTGCTTCCTCTCAAACTCTTGCGGCATGGCGACGGGCCGGGTCTTTGCGTACTTGACGGTGCCCCAGACCGAAGGCGAGTCGCGGAACATGAGGTCGATCTCCTCCAGGTTGCGGCCCATGGTCTCGGGGAAGAGGAAGTAGACGGAGATTGGGATGCAGGCCGCGATGACGGCGTACACGATGTAGTACTTGGAGCCGATGGTGGAGATTGCCACGGGCGTGACCATGACGACGACAAAGTTCCTGCAGCGTGGGGTTGCGTTAGTCGGTAAACCTAATACGGAGCACGTCTACCGTCCTTGCAAGGGCGGGACTGGACGTACCACAGCCAGTGGTTGGCCGTCGAGATGCTGGTCATGACCATGCGGAGGCGGACGGGCGCGACCTCGGTGCAGTATAGGAAGTTGGCGCCCAGGAAGCCGATGGGCACAAACGTGTTGAAGAGGTAGAGGAAGCAGCCGGCGCTGATCATGGCGGCGCGGTTGTCTTCGGGGAATGAAGTGGCGACGGCGAGCGCGACCATGCAGGCGGCCATGCCCGTGCCCGAGATGATGAAGACGACACGGCGGCCGAAGCGGTCGATGCAGAAGAAGGCCAGGAACGATGAGAGGAACTTCCAGGTCAGGGCGCCGCCCGTCAGGACGCGCGAAAGCTGGGGGCTCATGCCCAGGTTGTCCTGGAACAGAATGGTGGCGTAGACGCTGACCAGGTTGGTGCCCGACATCTGCTGGAAGAACTGCAGCAGGATGCAGAGGCCGAAGCGGTACAGCAGCTTGTCCTCGTTCTTGGGGTTGAGCAGCTCCGACAGCTTGGCGGACTGGCCGGTAGTCTCCTCAAGCGAGAGCTCGATTCCCGACAGCTCGGCCTGTACCTCCATCGAGTCCTGCGGGAGGCCGCGCAGGACCGACAGCACGGCCAGGGCCTCGGAGCTGCGGTTCTTGGCCACCAGCCAGCGAGGGCTCTCGGGGAAGAGGTAGACGGACCCGCACAGGACGAGCGAGAACAGGATCGCGATGGCAATGGGTGGG